GTCCACAATGATTTAGAGTCATCCAGGTCAGCTGGGGTGTGTGTGGGGGGCGGGGGTGTTATATTCTTTTTTCCTTCCCTCTGTTTTAAGGATAAAGTACCTATCTTTTCTTAAATAAAGTTTTGGCCTCTATTATTTGTTCTTCACCTATCTTTGCTGACTCTAAGATAAAAGAAAAATAAGACCTTTTTGGTACCTTAACCTCCAGAGCTTTTCTGGTTTCATCAATATTAACATAAAATTTGTGGAGTTATTCCTTTTAAACAGATCCCAAGTTGTTTTAGGCAATTAATTGTTCTCGTGAAGTGCATGCAGAGTCATTCCCAAGCTTTGTGTGTGTGTTTTAAATTTGTTCATGCATTATTGCATTTCATCCAGCACATTAAACATTGATCAGGCTTATCCTAATATATCCCTTTTTGGTCTGTAATTAATTCATCTATTTGAACAAAGAGGGAGAGAATAAAGGGAAAATCAGAGAGTATTCCTAAATAACTAATAGCTGCTGCAAAGTGAAGTTTCAGACCCTGTGACCTAAAACCTACTTTTGAATCCAAACCTTGTGAAGGTCTGAACATGGTTGTGTGTGGTTGACTTGCTGTGGAGTGGGGTAAGGACTGAGCAGCCATGAAAGTGGGAATCCTTCCAAGTAGGCTGATGTTTGGAAGCTTGCACCAAGGCTTCTATAAAGGTCAAGTTTGTATTCCTAGGGGGCAAGGGACGGGAAAGAAATTATATTACATTCCATAAAACAAGATTTATTAAAAGCCTTAATTTTATATTTTTCTTCCTGAAAATCCGCTTCATATCATCTCTTCTTCCCTTTCTTATACAAAATTTTAAAACTCCTTTTAGCATCTTGATTGTGGCTCTTTCTTTCTCTCCCTTTAGTATCATTTTTCGTCCTCATAGTCTCTTCATATACTCTCTTATGCAAATGATTCTTCTGTTTCATAACAATAATAGCCAACATTTATTGATGCTTACTCTTTTTCAGGTACTGTGCTAAGTATTTCATTGTGTTATCTCATGTAATTCATACAACAATCTTGTTATTCCTATTTTCAGATGAGAAACTGAGGCTTTGGGATATCCAGTGACTTGCCTAAAGTCACACAACCCCCAAGGTTTACACATGAGACAAGATCCCATGTGTATCTGGCTGTGGCCAAGCCTTCCAGGCCCATGTTCTTAAGTTCTCTGCTATGATATATGTTCATTACAGAAAGTTTGGAAGAAACATAAAAGTGCAAATATGCCTTATAAAATACCCATAATCTCTACTCTCACAAAGAACCAGAGCTAAAACTCTGCTATATTTCCTTCCAGTATTTTTTAAGCATGATGAATAGAAGATTTTAAATTTTTGACACTTACTATGATTTGGTAATTATTTTTAATGATTTAACATAAAAATATATAAAATCACAAATCTTATTTTAACACAACATATTTTAATACCTATGACAGAGAATAGATATTACATGTTATTTTAAATTATATTGTTAAACTGGAACAAATCATTTATCAAGTATTATTTGACCTTTCAGTGATGCTATATCATGTTGGAGAATATTTGATTGTTTAGTGCAAAATTTAGATGTGATTTTGTAAATATGTGCTAATGATAAAGTACCCTTCTTATTTCTAAGCTATTTTGACAATGAAATGAATCAGAATTTCTGAAGGAAATTCTAGAAAAAGGTTTAAATTAATGTTTTAGTCTTGTGGACAACTCTAGTCCACAAGATGAAATTGCTACAGTGAATATTGTGGACTTGTATCTGAAACAACCACCACTGAAAGAGTGAAACCATCAACTTAATTATATTGGTGGAGTAGGAGGAAGTCTGTACCTAAATGACTTTCTAATACAAAGACTAAGAAATATGATAAAGGCTGTACTTTTTGCTATGACAAAGTATTCTTTGACTTTGAAGCTAATGATATATTCATATGCTTCAAAATGAATACAGTTGGTGGCTTTATTCACAAAGGTTACCTACTAGTAGAGAGAACAAATTAATTTTAAATAGCTATGACCCTCTAGTCAAATTCTATTTCAAAGGATTGGGAGGAAGGGAAGTTCAGTGCCCTAATTTGGCTTGACATTCTTGCCTCTCTATTTTGAGAATTCAAATGTAAACTACCCCCTGTCATTTTTTTTAAATTTGAAACAACTAACTCTAAGTATCTTTGTATCAGCATAGGCTCTCTGAAAAGGAAACCCAGGTTGAAATCATATCTCTGATCTCACCAACACTTTGACCTTGTCAGTAAAATTCTACTGTCTATAAAATGAGATCAATGCATCATAAATTGTTTATGTGAGAGCAAACAAGTACAGTGACTAGACCCATATTGTACATAGTAGGTCCTCTAAAAATTTAAATTTCCATCTGTTCACTTTTCAACAAATCCTTGAGCACATCTTTTACCCAGTTATATAATAAGTAACAACTTTCAGATCTCTAATATGTTATAATTTACACAAACATCTGTACACATAATATCTATTTTCTCTTCTCACCAACTCTGGACATGCTTACTCTCTTTTCCGGGAAACTGAAGTCCAAAGAGATGAAGTGACTTGACTATGGTCACACAGCTGACAAGGAGCTGGGACTCACATCCAGGCCTCCTGACTGCTAGTCCTAAACCTGCCTACTTGATCCACATATTCAGAAACAGCCATCTGATTTGGGCTGTGATTTCTCAGACCAGCAATTGAAAATTAAGGATCTCGCTGTATACAAAATGAAAAAAATTAGTAGTGTTTAAGTAGATATAGCCTCCAGAATTTTTTTTAAATGTCAGCCACTCCCTTCTGGGAAATGCACTGTTTTAAGATATGATTAGTATTCTGAGCATAGAATGATGGTAAACATTATGTTTTGCATTATCATGAGATGGCAAAATTACCCACTCTCAAAGGACCAGCTGCTGCAGGGCAGCTGGCACCCGTGATGCCTACATTCTCAAAACTATTTTAATTGGTAGTTTCCCGTGATATTTTTTAGGCAGTCAGAGAGGAAATGTATGTGTAAACCTATTAAAGCCATAGCATCTGCTCTGATGAAATGACATCACTGACTCTTGGGAAGTAAAATGTTCCACTACAGGATTTTGAGCCTGCTCAGTGTTCTCATTAAGGTGAGAGTTCCTATAACTCACCTCCTCAAAAAGGTATAGAAAACTTATGAAGAAAAAAGATAGGAAAATTATTCCTATACCTTCAATATAAATTTCCATTACAGTCTTATAATTTTGAGTCGATATGCACAACATACATGAAACTGTTCATTACGTTAGATGTATGTGATCCTAATAGTGAAAATGCCCAAATTTTAAAATAGGAAGACCTGAGATCAAATCTAATCTCTGCCCAAATTGCTGGCAGCTTTAAGCAAAGGACTTAACCACTTGGAACTATTCTCATTTATAATGTAGATAAAAAGTCATCTTCCACAAGGTTATAGAGAAGACCCAATATTTTAAAATATGATAATCAACAAATATTGCACTGCTCTCAAGATCAACCATACAATAGGTGTTTATTACATATCAGGGTCTTTGCTAAGGACTTATATGTGCATTATTTCATTTAATCTTCCCCCAAACCTTCATAATAGATATTACTATTATATCCAATTTACAGATAAAAATATGGAGGCTTAGAGAAATTAAGAATATTACCCATGTTTACAAACTTAGGAAATGCAGCACCCAATAATTAGACTTATTCTTTCACTCATTCAACAAATATTTGCTAAGGAATAGATTCACTGAACAAAATTCGACATTGTTTGGAGGAGGAAGTGGGGAATGGAAGTTGGGTAAGCAACCAACTATGGTCACTTTACCCTGGCTACTATGTGGGGAATGGATTAAAAGGTAACAAGAGAGAATGCAGGGAGACCCGATAGGAGGTTGTGAAGGTAATCTACGTGAAAGATGATGTTGACTTCAACCAGGGTGATAGCAGTGAAGATGAGGAAACCTGGATGGACTGAGTATCCACTTTGCAGGTAGAACTGAATGTGCGGTAGTGGCAGAAAGAAGTCAAGTAAGGGAAGCCCCTCACTTTTGCCTCTGAGCATCATGGTGACTTGAGATGGGGAACAGTGAAATGAATGTGCAGAGTGAGAGAAAGAAATCTTCATGCTTTTAGCCATTATTAATGTTATCAACTAAGAGATCTGAAGTCCATAGCCACATAACTTTAAAATACCAGAAAAGTTTGTGGGAAAAGTCAAATCATTCCTTTCCATGTGAAAATGGAGAAAAGTAAAGTTTAACGTAGAGCTTGCCACAGTTCTTAGTTTACAACGTACCTAGGGACAGGATTGTCTGAGATTCTCTTTGAACTTTGTTAAATTTAAACATCAGTATTTATAATATTGTGAGGTGAATGGGGTTGGGGAAAACACTGGAAGATAATTTTCCAGAAAGCTAACAGGTCTACTTTAGATGATTGTCATGTATGTATATTTTTTCTTCTTTCTATATTTTTATATTTTTTAGATTTTTCTAAAATGATTGCATATTATCTTTTATAACTAGTAAATTGAAAATTTGAGAAAAATTAATCTATAAAGTTACATTTGTTATGTCTATATAGTCCAGAGTAATAAGTTCTGAGAACCATTCAAATTGCAACCTGTAGTAAAACCAATTAAGGTAATGATATAAATGGCAAAAGAACTCAAAATGCATGTCCTTCTTACTATGCTGTATGTGATGCAGTCCCAGTCAGAGTGGACTGGAGTTCAAGATGGGACCTTACCAGTAGTGTGGGCAATGTGAAGAAGGCTCAGAAGGCTGAACAGTTCAAGGTTTCCAATATTTCCTTCATTTGAAGTATCCCTCCAAAGTTGAACATTTTAACATTTCTTACATTCTTTACTTCTCCACATCATAAATTTAGATAATCATAATAACATTCTCTAAAGAAATCCTCCTAACTACTCCTGAATCTAGTCTCTTTTCCTTCCTTTCAGGGTCAATGATTGTATCTTGCGGGTGAATGAAGTCGATGTGTCTGAAGTTTCCCACAGTAAAGCAGTGGAAGCCCTCAAAGAAGCAGGGTCTATTGTTCGGCTATATGTGCGCAGAAGACGACCTATTTTGGAGACCGTTGTGGAAATCAAACTGTTCAAAGGCCCTAAAGGTAATAAAAACATAAATGACTCATGGTAAGACACACATATCGGCAAATCATTTGGCTAAAGTTTATGCCACAACCCATCTACAATGTACTCTCTTTTATTCTCTGCCATTCAGGGCTTACTACAAGATTTGAAATTCTATAATAGTGGTTTTTAGAGAGAATAATGAAAATCAATGCTCTAAATATGAACTCAAATAAGAAAAGGTTAGAGTTATGTAGGAATGTCCTTATACACAATAACAACAACCACCATTTATATTTTTCTATAAAATGTTATTCTTACTGGACCATCATAACTTGGCTAGTATATTAATACTAATTTTTCCGATATAAATAGCAAACCCTCTCATTTAGCAAAACAGTAATGTAAATAGTAATTAAATAATCTATATCAATATAACAATTATATTTTTTATAACAGTGTTGTGATTTGTCTAAAATTTTGTGATATTCTTATGTATTGTACCCAAGTACTACATAACATTTTGCACTTGCAATAGCCAAAGTAAGTTAAAAAAATTTTTTTTGGAAACTTTTACAAGTCTCTTGAGGTTAATATAGTTAGGGAATCACATAAACACTGAGGTGAATTATTATCATATTAATTTTTAAGAATAATCCTTTTGAATTCTGTTCTTCAGAATGATGACATTTAAAATTAGCTTAATAGTATTTGAAATATTTTAGAAAAATCTATTAAGAGAACTTAAGTCTTTTAGAAGACTATGACTCAATACACTCTGTAAGTAAACAATTACTCTTTTCTTTAAAATCCACTTAATTTCTAATGCTATATGAAATTTTAAAAAATAAGCATATGACTCTCTGTGGGAGGTAGTAATGGGTGGTATTTTAAGATCTTAGCTCCAAGAGTCTGAGATCTTAAATACTCAATCAGACAGGACTGAGTTTGAACGCCTAGTTTAGCCATTCACCAGCAAAGTCTTCTTGATTGGACCAATCCCTTCATTAATAAATGAGGATCATAATGGTAGTGTATATCCATAGGGTTTATGAAGATTCAATATTTACTAATAGCTGGCACATGATGAAAAGTAGAGCCTGCTGATTAAGAGTATGGACTCTAAAGCCAAAATGCCTGGATGGAACGGTAGCTCTGAAGCTCACTGCTTTTTTGACCTTGGGCAAATTGCTTAACCTTAATTTTCTCATCTACAAAATGCAAATAAAAATAGTACCTGTTCCTGATGATGTTGTGAGGATTAGATGAGTTGATTCACATCAAGTGTTTAGGATAAGGCCTGGCACAAACTGACTGCTCAACAAATATTAGCTATATATGCATGTTATTTGTAGTATTATTCACTACATATAGTTTTAGCCTTTGTAACAGTTGCTTGGGAATGTAATTAAAATCCTCAGAGATTTCTAAGGGGTTAAATACAAACACACTAAAATCACAGAATTAAATCTGGAAAAAATAAAACAACTAAAGCATTGTCATGCCACAATTCTAGTGGTATGAAAAAAGACTTTCTACCCTGCATGTTTACTAAAATCGTATTCACAAGGTGCTTTAAAGCCAAACAAAATGGTCATACCTATTATTTCTATTAAAAATATATACTATATAAGAGTAATATGTAGCTATTTCTATAATTCAATTAACAGCAATTATTTAGCACAGCTCTAAGACAAATACTAATTTTAAGCACTCAGCAAAGTAATACTATCCATTTATAGGCCTCCTGCTAGCTGAGTCACCGGATGACCTCCAGTTGTGCAGAGATGACTGAAACTTAATTTTATAAGGAACACAGTTTTTCGATCTTTATTTTTGGTACTAGGATCTTGTTCAGCTGATCTTCTCCAGTCTGAACTGTTTTCTCACTTAAGCCTGGAGTTGGGCAGGAATTGCCATGGGACCTGGACAGGGGAAATGGGGAGTAGTGAGCATTTATCAACCAGGTATAGCTGGGCAATAACCCAGTAAAAGTACATAGTGTATGGGAAATGGTTGACAAGTGGGCTTGGTCTACTGAGACAAGGAGAACAAGAAAATTGTTGGAAATAACTTTGTATCCCTGAAAGCAGGCCCCTGTCAAATCCCTGTACAGGCGTGTGAGCCTGTTTAGGCCTCTTGGGATTATGCTGAGTCACTCATATTTTTTTTTGTACTGTCATTATCCAGAGGTCACTGACACGGATTTGTTTCTCTATATAAAGCTTATTGATTTACAAGAAAAGAAACTGTTTTAGTCATTGTTTAAGTTCCTAATGCCTCTCCCAGTGCCTTAAACAAGAAGTGCTGAATCAGAGTAAATTGAATAATGAAATTGGATTCTACACAAAATCTAATGATACCTTGCAATCTTAATTTCACTTGGTACCTTATAAGTCTTTATTTTTGAATTATATGATATGTAAAAGCAATTTCTACCAACATTTAACTCACACCATTTAAAATTTCATGTACCCTAGAGGATAAAGATGAATCAGATGCAGTCTCTGTCCTCAGAAGTTCTGATAGGAAAGATACATGTAAGGTCAATTAACTTTAATACAAGGCAGAATGAAATCAGATCTGTAATGGAGCTTGAGCCATTATTTCAGTGGGGGAAAAAGGAACAGAGAGCCAAATGCTCCAGCGAATTTAAAATTTAACATGTTATGCATATACCACATTTTATTAATCCATTCTTGGATTGATGGGCACTTGGGCTGTTTCCACAGCCTTGCAATTATGAATTGTGCTGCTATAAACATTCAAGTGCAGGTGTCTTTTTTGTAGAGTGTCATACCATGGAGTACTATTCAGCTCTAAAAACAATGGTGATATAGCACATCTTATATTTTCCTGGTTAGAGCTGGAACCCATACTACTAAGTGAAGTATCCCAAGAATGGAAAAACAAACACCACATATATTCACCAGCAAACTGGTATTAACTGAGTAGCACCTAAGTGGACACATAGGTACTACAGTAATAGGGTATTGGGGAGGGGGGAGGGGAGAGAGGGGCGGATATATACATACATAATGAGTGACATGTGCACCATCTGAGGGATGGTCATGCTGGAGACTCAGACTTGTGGGGGAGGAGGGGAAAGGGCATTTATTGAAACCTTAAAATCTGTACCCCCATAATATGCCAAAATAAAAATAATAATAATAATATAAAAAATAAAATAAATAAAATTTAACATGTGCACACAGGTTCTTATCTGCCCTTCTTTGAGCATATGAATACTCTACAATAAGCACCAATAATCTAGCCAACTGAGCTAACTCGATTCAATTATGTATATAATACAGAGCTATCTGGATATACATTAATCAGTCCTTCAATGATTCAACAAATATGTATTATTTACTGTGTACCTGGCACAGAGCCAGACAATAGGGACTCACAAAGCAGATAGAAATAGTTCTTGCTCTCAAGGAGATTATAGTCTGGTGGAGAAAATGTCTATAATATAAGTTGGGGAAAGTGCTATGAATAAATGCAAAAGATTGTTAAGAGGGAGCCAATTAAATAGTGGGGCAAAGGTGACTTGTATAAGCAAGTGCCACTCAAGCTAAGCCTTGAAATATAAATTAAAACAGAAGTTTAGTCAAGTAAAGAGTTGGAGAGAGCATTCGAGATGAAAGCAAATGTGTATGTGCATGAAGGCTCTAGTATGGAAAAGATCTGGATAGTTTCCAGGAGTCTAATGACAGGACAATGAATGACATGAGGTGACATGGCCAAAATAAGCAGGGCCCAGACCATACTTAGCTTTGTTGGCCACCTTTAAAGATTTGTGATTATATTTAAGTGCAAAAGGAAATTATTGCAAAATTTTAAGCATAGGAGAAACATGACAACATTCGTCATTTTTGAAAGATCATGTTGGTTACTATGGAGAAAATGGATTGAAGGGGCCAAGAGTGAGAGCAGAGATCAGTTAGTGGTTACTTGGGGAAGGGAGAAAAAGATGAATGAATTTGAGCTATGTTGATCCCATTCATTGGTAAACTGGCTGGGGGTGTTGTCAAGGATGAGGCCCAGTTTTCTATTTGTGGTGCCCTTTGTGAGACAGGGAAGACTTTGAAGAAACCTCTGTGGAGAGATGATTAGGAATTCACGTTTAGACACGTAGGAAGCCTGTGATGCATCTGAAAGATCTCAAGGAAGCAGAACTGGAGAAGATCTGTATGAAAACCTTGTCAATTAATGTACTTATTTTCCCCTATATTTTATGAAATATTTGGATTTGGGAAATATCTGAATAATTAGATTTGTCACCTTTCTTCAGTCTTTAATATAAAAATTATGAGTATGGCTATGTCAGCTATTTTGAGTATATATTTGGTAAATCTATTTATAGACATATTTAGTTCCCAGATTATTTTTAGTTTGGGTATTATTTTTGTTTGCTTTTTCACAGAAATGAAGGCAAAATGGTGTTATTCCTTCCTATTTTGTAGATAAAATATTAAGAAATTCTTTGAAACAATGATTTATAGTTTTCCAAATTCATACCCTATGTTCATTGCATCTATTGCACAGATTACTAATTCTGAGACATCCTTTGATATATATGATTCTGTCTTTATAACAGTGCTAATCTTCTTTCAGTAGACTCAGACGTCTGATTGGTAATTAAGATCCATGTATTTCAGTAATGAATATTTGGGTAATAGGCAATTCTGATTTAGAATGTCTTTTCTTAACAATGTATAAAAATTTCTCTAACTACACAGTTATGGATTTGGTCATTGCAAGCTTCTAGGGCATCTGCATGTGGGAGTCAATTGAGGAAAATATGGATAATCATATTTGGGAAATAATGTTTAGGAAGGTCCATATGGCTTTCCAGACAACCAAAAATTAAGCAAAGGAAGAAAATATGAAGTGTGTATGCAGGTTCCTAGGAAATAGCTTTACAATAAAAGCCTTTCTAGTGACCTTCCCAAGGACACTTTAAATCATAATTTCTAAGGAGCTATATAATGAAACAATTGCAAATTGTTTTTTTCTGTGGCCTAAGCCAAAG